GGATAGGAAGGGTGGATAAAGTAGTTGACAGTGTCTCTATTGTCTTTGATGATGGGTCAAAGTGTGAGGTCACTGCAGTGGATCACGAGAAGCTTGTGCCTATTTCTCCCAACATAATTGATGACTCACAATATCCATATTATCCAGGACAAAGAGTGCAGGTTGTGCCTTCAGATTTTTCTAGATCAACTAGATGGTTATGTGGTACCTGGAGGGAAAATCATGAGGAAGGAACCATTTGTGGAGTGGATGCAGGTTTGGTCTATGTTGATTGGATTTCCTCTGCTCAAGTTGGTCATGATTTGAGTGCCTCCCCTCTCTCACGTTTGCAGGAGGCAAAAGACTTGACTTTGTTGTCATGTTTTTCCCATGCAAATTGGCAGCTCGGTGATTGGTGTCTCGCTGACTGCAAGGGGACTACTGAACAATTTTTCCATGCTTCAACTCATAATTTAATTAAAGGTAACTGGAAATTAGAAAAAGGATTTAAAAGGGGAAACCTGGGTTCAAGATTGGAGGAGATTTTTGTGATCGTGAAGACTAGGACCAAGGTTGATGTTGTGTGGCAAGATGGTACCTGTGGTTTGGGATTAGATTCACAGACTTTACTTCCTGTTGGTGTTGCAAATGGGCATGAATTTTGGCCTGATCAGTTTGTCCTGGAAAAGGGAACTAATGGCAATAGTCAAAGATGGGGTGTGGTGCGTGGTGTGGATGCAAAGGAACGAACAGTTAAGGTACAGTGGAGAAATATGGTTGTGAATGAAGTAGATGGTTTGAGTGGGGAGCTTATGGAGGAAACTTGTAGTGCTTACGAACTTGTTGAGCACCCAGACTACTGTTACTGTTATGGTGATATTGTGTTTAAGGTGGTTCAGAACCAGTTTGGTGATCAAGCTGATAAAGGCCATGTAATCTTAGAAACTGGTTTTGGTACAGAAGCTGCTTCAAAAGGCAAGAACTGTAATTGGGATCAGGAGAAGTACCCCAGTACATATTGTCTATCCTGTATTGGCATTGTCATCGGATTTAAAGATGGGGATGTGGAGGTGAAATGGGCTTCTGGTATTCCAACAAAGGTTTGAATCTTATTCATCCTTATTCCATGATATGAATCATATACATATATTTTTTAATTAAGTTAATGCTTCTAGGTTCAGGATTTAGCTGCTTTTTGAGTTTAGTATTACATCCTTCAACCAAAATCCATGAACTTGTGAAACTCATTTTAGTTGATTACATATTCTTTGTGTCGCTTATGAGAGTAGTCACAGATTTGCCTTCCTTTGAACTTGTCATTAAACTTTGTTACAGGTTGCACCTTATGAAATTTACCGTATTGATAAATATGAAGTTTCAGCCACAACCCCTGTTCTCTATGAAGAAAATGCCGAGGTTTTCAATCAAGAGATGCCAGTGCGTGAGACGCAGTCTAATAGCCATACAGGAAAGGTAAATCCAGGTTTCTTTCCCTTTTTTTCATTTGTGCTTTTTGCGCATAAGTTTTCTCTCGATTTGTATGTGGACGTCTGGTTCTTTGCAGATGTGCACCCAAATTTTTGTTGAAACCCTGTGATTAAATTAGTCAAATTCTATGTAAAATATGCATGGAGAAGGTAGAAAAGTTTGTTGATTAAATGAGGCATAAGGTTTTAAGTCTGCAATTCAAATCTTGTCAATTATGCAGGATTTCTACCAGGATATATAGGACTTTTCTGTTAGTAATTTGTAGAATTCAGCTCATGTCCTTGAATAGTTAAAGAAATGTACAGTACTAGTTTGGACTCTTCCTGAGTTCAAATACATTCAGTTTTCATGAGATCTTGGTTTGATTGCTGATAACTTGCATGGAACTTGAATCATCATAGCAGCCTTGCAAACCCAAATTCTTATGAGGGACAGTGAATCATGTCTTAAATGAAAGTACTTTCTAAAATTCAAATAATTTGACAACATGAAAAATCTTTTATGATGTGCCTCACCAGACTAAATAGGGACTGTGATTTTATTCTCAGGATTTGTTGAGTTTTGATGGTACTGATGAAATTGGAAAAAAGTTCTCATGGATGCCTACTTCCTTCTTCCATCCGCAAGCTGCTATTGGATTTTTCTCAAGCATTGCTTCTAGCATCCTAGCGTCCCTTGGTTCCAGATCACTGTTAAGCCAAAATTCATCTGGTTGTATGTCTCATGATGCCAAAGAATATGGCACTCTCTTTGAGAAAGAAGTATTGGAAACCCGCAATCACTGTGCTGAGCTAGATCTGAGTGAGTTGCAGATATTTGAAACAACAAACATAAAGCAGGAAGTTGAAGAGATTGAAGAAAACAAAGGTAGTATGATGCCAAGACCCAGTGAGACTTCACATCAATTTAGGCAGTTTGATATGGTTAGTGATTGCTCAGATCACCACTTTCTTGGCGAAAGCAAGGTGTTAGCTGTGTCTCAGGTTAGAAACATGACTTAATTGACTCTTAAGAATACCATGAGTTGTTCAAACAGTCTGCATAATCCTTTTAGTTTCTATCCTTGTCCCCACTTCTAGGTGAGAAGAAATTGGCTGAAGAAGGTTCAGCAAGAATGGAGTATTCTAGAGAAAAACCTTCCTGGTTAGCACTTTATTTTACTTTTACACTGACTTATGTGTTACATTTATTGATGCTCTAGTCCTCATTCTGTTGGATACCTCTCATTCAATTTAAGCCAGTTGCTATTTTTCATGTGACCATTTTTGACCTGATCAGAAACTATCTATGTCCGTGTATACGAGGAAAGGATTGATCTACTTCGAGCAGCCCTTGTTGGTGCCCCTGGAACACCCTACCATGATGGGCTGTTCTTTTTTGACATATTTCTTCCACCAGAGTATCCATATGAACCACCTGTAAGTTTTGCATCCATCTTGCTACTAATAATAGAATTGCCTTTTAAAAAAAAAAGAGTAGTTACTGCAGAACTCTATAATGGCAAGAGAATATTGATCTTTGATTCCTATCTCTTCCAATGCAATGAGGTATTTATGGCTATTTGAATTTTCGATAACTGTATGTGAGGGTTTTTTTTTTTTCATTTAAGAAAATGGGGGGTTTCCAATTCATGGTCTTTGTAAAAACTGATATCTGAATAAATACAAGTGTTCATGTCAAATCATGAAAATGTTACTATATGTTAAAAAATCTTATGAAGTCCATGTTTGTCATAAATTTTTGCAGTTGGTGTATTACCATTCAGGAGGGCTCCGCCTTAACCCCAATTTGTATGAATCAGGGAAGGTTTGCTTGAGCCTTCTAAATACATGGACAGGTTCGGGAACCGAGGTGTGGAATCCTGGAAGCTCCACTATTCTTCAAGTTCTTCTGTCCCTCCAGGCTCTTGTGCTGAATGAGAAACCTTATTTCAATGAGGCTGGATATGATAAACAGTTGGGAAGAGCTGAGGGGGAGACAAACTCAGTGAGCTACAATGAAAATGCATTCCTTGTCACCTGCCAGTCTATGCTTTATATACTCCGCAAGCCACCCAAGGTAAAATTTCGTAATTTAAGCATCTTGCAGCTCTATTATTTGCATTTGTTGAAGCAGTTATGATAATTAGCTTTGAACACCACTTAAATGTTACATGAAAGACTGACACCATCTCATGACTGATGAGTTTGTAAATATTTTTTAGAGTATAAATTGGTGCTTAAATGTTTATGTGTTTCCCTTTCAGAAGAATGAAAGAAAATTGATCATATTGTCTGCTCTATATTTTGTCGCTGCCTGAACATATAAAAATCAAAGAAGGCTGTTTCTGTTTTTTTTTTTTTTGAAAAGTAGAAGGCTGTTTCTTTGATACCATAATTGTTTCTAATGACTACAATCTCATTAGATATGTAAATATCATACAAAATGGATATGTTAATATCAGGATGAATCCATTGAGGTGGACTGGCATGAAATGTCCAGAATCAGAGTATTTTCCTAATAGCACTAAACATATTATACCTTAGCTATGAATTGAAAGTTGTAACTAGCTTTGGTTAAATCCTCAAATTGTTTATGCTACTGTTTGTTGTTGTGCTGCTGCAGCATTTTGAGGCACTTGTCAAGGAGCACTTCAGTAGATGCGCCGAAAATATTCTCTCTGCTTGCAATGCATACACGGAAGGTGCGCCGATAGGATGTGCTCTTGAATGTGGTGGAAACGGGCATGATGAAAACCTGAAAGGAAGTTCTACTGGGTTCAAAATTATGCTCGCTAAGCTTTATCCAAAGCTTGTGGAGGCTTTTTCCGATCAGGGAACTGATTGCAGCCATTGCTGTGGGCTGGAGAAGTGAATGTGCTGCTGAGGTGCAAGTATTACGAAAAATTGCTATCATGTGAATAGTTTTGTATAATATTCCTCACAGGCATTCAAAAACAAAACCGCATAAAAGATTCCAATAAAGAAAAAAGGCTCTGTATAATATTGGGTTGTGCTTGGTGAAAGATTGTAATGTTTTCCTCGTCTATTACAGTCAGAAGCCATGCTGAACAGGCTTGTGCTACGGCTGTACAAAACTGTTTGCAGATAATAAGACTGTGAAATAAGAAAGTGATGATTGGATTGGTTTGCTTCATACTTCTTCAAGTTTTATGTGTCTGACAATATTCATGTTCAGCTGCTGAGCTTGGGACAAAAGTTCTTTTGTTGTGCATTTGCTATATCTTGTCTGGAACATAATTGGAAGGACTGGAACACGACAGAGGTCCCTGGATGGGTGTGGCTGAAACGTGACAAAATTTCTACCTCTAGCTCTCCTCTGCTTGCTTTGCCAATCATTTGGGCCTGTCGCACGTTTTTGTTTGCAGAGCCAACAGGTCATCAGGGAGTTCCACAGTAAACATCATGTCCTAGTAATAATGGCGGAGGAGGGTGACTAAACCCAAATTTTCTAGAATTTTGTCATTAAATCTTGTGCTTATATATCAAAATAAAACTCCTAATACTTGTGGTTGTTTCTTGGACATATAAAAGGTATTGAATTCTAGAAGAATATGGTAGTAAATCATTTGATTAGTACAACAAATTAATTTGCTAGTGGAATATCTTTAGTACTAATAATAACTAGCCAAACGTGCCCTTAAACGTAGACACCTTTAAATTCCTGACCGACACAACTCCTTCACCGTTCCGACAGCTTTTGTTCTCCATTCCCAAAACCGGCCCGCAATGAAGCCGCCAAAACCTCCTCGTTTCTACCCGAAAAACCCTTCAAAAACCCGTGATTTCCCTTCAAGTTCTTTCTTCCTCTTCTTAGCTTTCTTTTTCCTCCTTCAAATCCCAAAAACTGCCTCTCTATTCCCTACTCAGGCCCCGCCTGAATACTCCAAATATTGCAATGACGTCGTCCCGGAATCCCCTGTGGAGCCCACCACTCTTTTTCCCAGCTCCACCGCTAACAACCTCGATTTCAGAATCGGTTATTTCACCGGCGGAGACTCCTTTTTTTTCCAATCAAATATCGCGGCCGATGCTCCCAAAGCTGCTGCCTTTTACGCTCAGTATTTTCACAACACCCTCTATAATAATACAACCCAAATTTATAAAATTCAAGGCAAGCTCGGTCTACAAATTCCCAAATCCTTTTTCGTTTCTTCTTCCAATGACAGTCTTTTAAACCCCCACCGTGGATTACGGCGGAAGTTTCGGATCAGGGGACCGAGAATTCCAGTGATCGGAAGAGGAACGCCGAGTTTTTCGCTAAGTGGGTATTGGTCGGAATCGACTGGAAGGCTTTGCATGGTTGGATCAGGGGTAAGTAACGGGAATGCAGGTAAATATAGGACTTTTAATGTTGTTCTTAAGCTCAATTATTCGAATAATTTTAATGTTTTTGGAAGTTTAATATCTGGGGCTTTGGAAAGTTTAGATTCTGAACATAGTTTGAGTTACTTTGAGCCGGTTTCCCTACTGGGTGTGAGGAGTAGTTTTGAGAATTATGAGTTTAGTTTGGTTGAGAACGGAAAGGGAAGTTCTTGTTTAAGTGAGGTTGAAGGTGAGGGAGAGAATTTGGATGTTAGCAAAACTGATGGCGGAGTTTGTTCAGCAATTGTTGAACGTACGATTAGGTTTGAGTTGGACTATGGGAAGGATTGTGATAAAGCTAGTTGTGCTTCGGTTTTTAAGGATGTTAAATATGTTCCAAGCTTCATGTTCTTTAGACAGGTTAAGTGTGTGGATAAAGGGAAAATGCAGATTTTGTTGGGATTTCGGAACTCAAGTAGAATGCATACTTTATTCCCTTTTGATCCTAATACAACGTTGATTGGTGAGGGAACATGGGATGAGAAGAAGAATAAGGTCTGCGGTATTGCTTGTCGAGTTTTGAATTTCAGGGATTCTTTGACTAGAGCATCTGTTGGTGATTGTTCTATTAAGTTTAGCTTAAGATACCCCAAGGTTTTGTCTCTTAGAAATAGGTGTTCGCTTGTGGGGAAACTTTGGAGTGATAAAAGTGAGGATGATCCGAGTTACTTTGGCATGATTAGTTTCAGGAGTATTTGGGAAGTATCACCTGGGTTCAAGAGTGTTCTGGGTTTAAAATATGAGTATACAGAGGTTGATAGTGCTAGAAGATCTTGTGCAAGTAAAAATATTGCTAAACACAAGGGAAAGACATATCCTGATGGCGATTCAATAGACATGAGATTTGACATGTTGGTGACAGATAGTAAAGGAGAATCAGCATGGGGTTTTGCGAACCCGCTGTTTGTGGATGATCAGCTATATAAGCATCAGCGTTATGGGCCTTTGCCGTCTGCAGCTCATTTGAGCAATAATGACAGCAGGCTATTGAATATCAGCTATCAGATTAGCTACACGTACCAGTCCAGTAATGCTCCTGCCTTGTCCAGAGTAGTTGAAATTTCTGCTGAGGGAATATATGATAGAGATACTGGTGTTCTGTGCATGGTAGGATGTAAACATGGAAGATACCATAATCAAATTTTGATAGAAAATGTTTTACTGGACTGTGATGTGGTGGTTACTGTCCAATTTTCTCCAGTAAATGCTGCAGAAATATATCATGTTAAGGGAACTATTGAAAGCACACGGGCCAAGTCAGACCCTCTTTATTTTGAACCCATTAATTTGTCTTCAAAATCATTCTACACCAGACAGGCTAAAGAATCCATTTGGAGAATGGATCTGGAGATTACCATGGTCCTGATTTCCAATACACTTGCTTGTATTTTTGTTGGATTGCAGCTTTTACATGTGAAGAAACACCCAGAAGTTCTTCCCTTCATTTCTGTGGTGATGCTCATTGTTCTTACTTTGGGGCACATGATTCCTCTATTGCTGAACTTTGAAGCCTTGTTTGTAACAAACCGTAATCAACAGAATGCTTTTCTTGAGAGTGGTGGATGGCTTGAAGTAAATGAAATAATAGTGAGGGCAGTAACAATGGTAGCTTTTCTTTTGCAGTTTCGTCTTCTACAACTCACATGGTCTGTAAGACAAGGCGATGAAAGCCAAAAGGGCTTATGGGATGCAGAGAAAAAGGTTTTATTAGTATCACTTCCTTTGTATGTAAGTGGTGGGTTGATTGCTTGGTTAGTGCACCAATGGAAGAATTCCCGCCAGAGTCCATTTCTACAACCACACCGAAATGGTCTTCATATGACACTTAAGCAGCATTTTTACCAGCAATATTCTTTCTGGAGTGACCTTAAATCTTATGGCGGTTTGGTCCTTGATGGGTTTTTGCTTCCGCAGGTAGTGTTCAACGTGTTGTCTAAATCCAATGAAAAGGCTCTTGCTGCTTCATTTTACATAGGAACCACCATGGTCCATTTGTTGCCTCATGTATATGATCTTTACAGAGCTCACAGTTCTTCAGGATATCTTGGTTTATCATACATATATGCGAACCATAAACTGGATTTCTTTTCCACTGCCTGGGATATCATAATCCCTTGTGGAGGTTTGCTCTCTGCTATCTTCATCTTCTTGCAGCAGCGATTTGGGGGTCAGTGTTTTCTACCTAAACCGTTTAGAGAGGATGCTGTATACGAAAAAGTCTCTGTAGATAGTGGTGTGGAACTGCAAGGTGAATCCGTTCAGAAAAACTTTTATAGCTGTTGATACTTGGAAATTTTTTCTGAATCAAATATAGTATACTCTTTTATGTCATCATGTTCAATAGCTATGGGCCGTCTTTTCCATGTGCCTCTTTCTTTGAATTCTTTTGCTTCCCAGTTTAGGTATCAAGTTATGGAGGTCAAAGAGTGAAATTGAAAAATATGTTGAATCAATATCATTTGCATATAGTCAAAAGTTTGCGAAGCTGATTTGTATCTCGTGAAGCCTTCTGTTGATGAATGCACCAACACAGGCCCTGCAAGAAGACTTATTTTTAACTGTTATGCAGCTTTATGAACTCATAAAAACTTACTATATGAAATAATACTGTACAAAGTTTTTGACCCTTACATTGGATTTTCTTTCCAGACTACAATTTACCAAGGCCAATAGGGAGGGGAAGTTTAGATTATTGAATATTTAGTCCTCAGCCTGGAAGGATAATAACCATTTAGCACGAGTGAGAAGACCATTGCATGGTTTGTGCAATTTCATTACTTCTGATATTTGATTCAATCAAGCATCAAGCTCTGCCTCTTTTTCAATGATGTCAATAGCGTTTCCAGCCAGTGATTTTGCTCAATCTCAAACACAGCCAAGAGACAGCTCAGAGTTCATAATTTGAAAACGCATTCTAGCTCTGCACAACCAAAGGAATATAAAGGAGCTAATCAATGATTCGAGAATAAGAAAAGAAGAGGATGATTCATGCAAAACAAAAGCAAAAGAAAGCATCCAAAGCAACAGACCCGACAAAAAAAAAAAAACAAATTCTCATTTCCATATAAAGAAATCAAGATGAAAACCAGATATCTAATCTTCAGGTAAATGAATCATGCTGGATAGGACCAACCCAATCATAACCCCAATTTATCAAGATTCCTTATTCCCCCACGTAAAAGGTCATGGCAAAGCATAAGAGAAGAAACAATCCATGATTTGAGTGATTCCTTTTTTGAAAAAAACATAAGAAGGAAGGAAAGCTTGATTCCATAATCAATGCAGTTTCAGTTACCACCACAATAAGAAAGGAAAACAAATAAACAGCTTTTTATCCAACACTTTATTCACACAATTTATACAGAACTATACCCAATAATATATGTGGTTACTCCAAAGTCATCCCCTGCCAATCACTACGTGATGCCAGGATAAGATTTTGAGCAAGCAGAGAATATGCAGGGCCCTTGCGCGCTGCCTGCATCAGGAACCCATCATCTAGGTAGCATGCAGTCGGATACAGAATAAAATTGATCAAATATATTTGTCAATCATAGCACAGCTTGCTTGTGTGAAAGACAACTTCAGCAAATCCAACTTTGAGTTCAAACATCAGTTAATAAAACAAATATGCCACCCAAGGCCCAAGCCAACCATACTACACAGCCAGGACAAAGATTGTTGAACAAAAAATGCAGATGTTTAAAGTGAACTTGAGACAAAAAGTTACCTTGACATCATGCCATAGATTTTTTGCCAGAAATAAGGCGAGATATCTGCAGACCTCTGCTGAATGCGTCATTGAATAAGATTCTTGTCTGCATGGACTGGAATCCAGGCAACCATGATAGCAATGCCACAGGAGCTATGACAATCACTCCAAACAACATATCATACAGCCGTGCCAAGGAAACTACAGTCTCCCACACCACAGTGGATTGCAGAAAGGGTCTAAGCACTAGGGCAATGGATATCAGACCCCATCCTGTAGGAATGAATGCCAGAAGACTTGTGACAAGATCAAGAAACTTAAATTTGGTCAAGTTCAGCAATAAGGCAATTACAAGTACTGTAAGTATGGTAACTACAAGCTGAACTACTCGATAGTAGATGTGCTTTTTTGCTGCATATTTGTCTTGAGCATATGCTATAATCACATAAATTCCAACAGCCACAACCACATATATCCAAGATAGCAGGTAAACAGTTATACGGGTGCTATTATCAGCAATGCCCAACTGATACACAATACCATACTGGAAGAAGAAGAAACGAAGGTCTAAAATTATCTCTAGTAGCTTTCCCCAGAGACCTGTTGCTCTCAAATGGTCTTGTTCCTCATACCACCATATTTCCCAGCTCTTATCCGCTTCTGCAAACACACCACCTCTACACCATATCCAATTCATAAAATCATCAAAATCATACACAGTCTTCAGCCAATCAAAGCCAGAAGGATTGAACACAAAAGGGGACATTATCCACGACACCACAAGGAACCAACTTGAAATTGTCATAGCTATGTAAACGAAAGTATCCTTAGCCAGTGGGCTATAAGAAGCATACACCGCTAGAATAACACCAAGTTCAATTGCCTTAACAAAATGGCTTCGAGCATAAAGTCTATAATTTTCAGCAAAGCGCTTGTGCTCAACCACAAAACCACGCCCAGTGGCTCGGTACTTAGCACCCCCATGAAGGATGGTCCGACCAAAGAAATGGGTTCGTGTCCCCATAGAGAAAGTGTAAAAGAATGATGCTAGCTGCAACTGCATTTTCAAGAAGTCCCAAATTGATGGAAGAAACCCATGTTCAAGACAATTCTCAACAATCATTGGAAGTGCAGTGAACAGACCAAGCTGTATTATAAACTGCTGATTCAAGATTGTTCCAAGAGCCTCATTGCTGATACTCTTATTCTTGGCTTCCTTCTCAACGCCACTGAGTGCAAGATAGAGGCGGCCCCACAAAAATGTATAAACAGTCAGTACCACCATCATCGTGTTAAAGTAGTGTCCTACAGTTGTGTAGTAAAAAGAAAGCATCCGAAATAAGTCCAACCTATGACCCAATCGGTAGATATCTCTGCTCAATACCTGCTCGCCATTGCCACTGGCAACCTTGGCCTCAAACATAGAGATCTGATTCAACCCCACATCCCTTCCTTTACCCACCTGTATATATTCATGGTGTGTTACATTGCCACCTCGCAGAGTGCAATTGAAGCCAGCAAATATATCCTCACTGATATTAATCACTCTAGAAGCCTTGCTAATTCCACCCCTAGTCAAGAACCAGAATCGATCAAACACATCTGGGTGACCATAGTGCATTCTCACCTTCAAAGGGTTTGCTAGAACACGCTGCCCAAGGGTCACAAAACTTGTTTCCTGAGCAGACATAAACCATGCAAGTGAGGAAACTGAGCCTGTGAAGACATTCTCACGAACTCCCAGAATAGTTGGCTTCCTAATACCATAATTGGTCTTGAACTCCTCCAACAAATTCCGCATCTTAAGTGCCTCCTCAAAATAATTGTCTTGATTCATGTCAATGGTCTGAATTGCATCACCTCGAGTAAAAATTATCGCATGATTCTGGTTCTCTGGTTTTCCTTCCCCAAGTTTCAAGGGCCCTGGCAACCTAATTCGATAAATCTCTACCTCCCTCTGCTGCTGTTGGTCGTACTTCACAAGAACAGAGTAATACTCAACCTCATCTCTCTCTAACTGAACCTCATCTACATAGGCAACTCGAAGAGCTTCATTGTTTTTCATCAGATACAGAATTTCCTCAGCATGACTCTCTCCTTTCGCCTTTTGCCGCCCATACAACTGACAGGTGACTACATAGGTGAATTTCATCAAAGCGCATCCATACTCATGTCCCTTGAACAACAGACGTACCTAAGTTTCTTTGGAGTGGGTGCTTAATACCATCAACCAACCACGGTTTGGTTTAATGAATGATGAGAAGCAATTTCTCGTGTGCCCATTCGAATATCCATCTCAGATGCAGAATCAAGAAAGGAAAGAATCTTAAGAGCCCTATAGTAATACATCATTCCCCTAACTGTTCGGGATAATGTCTGCCCTCTGTATGATGCCCAAAGACGGAGATCCCTCAACTTTTTCTTCCAAATATCATCATCATCATCCATCCCTTCTCTGTGCATCCTTTCCATAAAATTTCTCCACTCGTCCTCATAGATTTTCTGCAGATAGAACAAGGTGGAAATGCCATCTTCATTCTCATCTTCAAGCATTCCTTTCTTAAACAATACTTCTTCATCATAGTATGGAGTTAGAACACTAAAAGCCATCATTTTCTCAACGTTAGGGGCACGAGGCATGTTCATAAAGAGTGAGTTGCTAAAGAAAGCAATTCGCCTCCTTGCCTCCAGATTCAGAGGAACATTATGCATTGAATCCTTAGAAGTAAGAATTGTTTGCAGACGCCTTAGCTGCTTATGAAAATCAGCATCCTCAGCATCAGGAAACTTGATAGCATTCTCGAAAAGCAGCCCTTCATCAGTTGCCGGATTTCTAGGTGCCAGACCTTCCTCACGCAACTGGGCCATGGACCTCTTCACCTTAGGAAATTCTCGCATGCAAAGTTCATAAAGGGCCTGCAATAAATTTACTGCCTGACTCTGATCATTTTTCTGTTTCACCAGAAGATCAACAAGGGATACTAGCTTGCCATGAATTTGCTGCAGCACATCCATCCTGTATGCTGAAGTTAACTTCCCATTTTGCACGTGGAAGTCTATCTCCTCAAACAATTTGAAGACTATGGAATACTCTTCAGTGCCACATTTAACGACACTAAGAAGCAAATACTTGATGCTATCATAAGCTTCAATAACAGCACACCGCCCATACTCATTCTTGCATATCTTCAACCAAAGCCACAAGTCAGGTGCATCAGCCAGCTCTGTTGCCTTGCTGAGAGCAAGAAGCAGCTCATTGCATAGGAGCAAACATGGCCAGCGAATTACCCTAATCTCCCAGCAATTAGGTGGCAGTTCCATGAGCTCAACCTCTCTATCACTAATGAGATCTTCCTCCCTCAAAGAAATAATTATTTCATTCCATATCAAGGCAAACCTTGTTGCTTCCACTTGGCTTGATTCAATCTTCTTGTACGGCTGACCAAGTCCATATCTCAGCTTCACTCGATGAATTGCATCACGAAGTTTCTTCACCAATGTTGCTTTGGGACTTAGCAGCTGATCCTCTGGCATGAGATTAAATTGCATTGCACTAGCAAAGAACTGAAACCTAAGCCTGAGTTGCTCCATATTCCTGATTTCACCCAAATGCGAAAACAACCCAATTGCTGCACCAACAAACGATGAAAAAACCGAATACCAGATTTGCAAATCTATAAAATAAATCAGAAGGACAGGCAACCACAGCAACACAACAGCAATTCTATTGCTACTACCAAAAAACTGGTGCCAATTATAGCTAAGATTTGAAAGACTCAAAAGCTCCTTTGTTGGAGCGACCAGGGGCTTTATTTGAAGAAAATAACTGAATGCGAACTTCCAAACTAACACCACGACCCAAAACAAAGTATACCTGATATTATCAACTAAACCTTCCCTCAGTCCACGACCAACAAAAATCCAAGTATGAAACCACCACGTCAACCAAGAAATAATCACCCAATCCAACCCTTCAATCCAATTTCTAACCCAGGGAATCATAAAAAACAACAATGACAACAACTCTGGAATGACAAACACAAACACAGCCTCAAGAAATGTAACAATCCTTTGGTTTGCTTCAAAAGACCACCTCCTATCAGCATTCTTCTGACTCCAAATCCTCCCATAGAAAACCCCAAACACAACAATCCAAGTCAAAGCAACCACACTCTTCAACACCATCCGTATTCCAAGCCACAAGGTCTCCCTCGAAACCAAACTATACTGAGTCCCAGCATCAAGCACAGATTGCAAAAACCGGAGGCCGGCCCATGTAATAAAAACAGTTAACAACTCCACCTGAACATCCCTTGCCTCCAAAGCTTCCCACGGATACTTCGTTCCCGCCCAAGCAACAATAATGGAAGCCTGTAAAAATAGAATTAACAGAATCCATAACTTATCAAAACTCCTAAACACATTCCAAAACGATCGTTGCTCAACAAACCCAGTTTTCCCAACTCTTTTAGATTTCTCTACCGTATCAAAGAAATTACTCCCGTAATCAATCGGCCATTTTAAACTCTTAAAACACCTCATACTCCAAAAGTACTCATTTATGTCATCGTAGTTCCTCCAAGCCGAATGCGGCGCCGTTCCATTCCTACTACTCTCCACTTCCGTTTTAATCGTTCGGTAAAACGGCATAACTATACATTTCAAGAAAGCACAGTTACCTGAAATCGAAGGCACGAAGGGCCTTCCGGTAAATTCATCGAGGTGTTCTTCTAGAACTTTGTTTAATTCCATTGCCATGTGATGGTAAATGTAAGAGAGGAGCTCGGGAGCGAAGCGGAGGTTGGCGGCTTCTCCCCAGATTAGGAGGTACAGAGAAACGTAGAGGAGCTCGCGCGTGACGTCGTTGCTGTTGCTTCGGCGAGCGTAAAGGTGGAGGTGGGATTTTACGCCGAGGAAAGAGCACCAGGAGGTGTAGTTTTGGAGTAACTTCTTGCGGAATCTTCGGAGGACGTTAGGGACGAGTTCATCGGGGTTAGTCGGAGGCGGCTGGAGGCGCATTTGGGAGTTGGCTAAGTGGAGGACGAGTGTGTTCCCTTTGGTTCCGAACGTTGTCGCTTTGGATCCGAAGGAGTAGCCTAACCAGTCCATAAGGTCCATGTGTGTTCCAACGTGATGAACGGTGGCTTCGGGAGGTTTAAAGCCGGAAGTAACAGCGCCCCGACGGCGCGTATTTCAGGGTATCTGTGGGACGGATGATCTGCTAGAAGGTCGTGGACAGGGATTATGTTGTAAACTTCTCGCATTGGCGGCGTTGGCAGCGGCTGCGGGCGTAGGTCACCACCACGGCCGCGCGTGGCAATCGGACGTCGCCGTGGAGCACTCATAGTTAGTTACTACTCACTCACTTCTCCCGCTTTTCCTTAATTTCCCTCAAAACATTTCTTTTTCCATTGCTGCTGTTTGCTGCAACTCTAAAAAAGACGAAGCACTGCTTTTGTTTTCTGAGAGGAACAAGACAGATAGAACCTGGGTAAAAAGTGCAACGTGGACTTCGGGAGAAAGAAGAGAAAACAAAACAGAGAGATCGAAGGCTTGCTTTTGATTTTTTTTTTTTAAGGCCCTCGAGGGCTGATTCTATCTAAGTTGCTTTGGTGTTAGCTTTTTATCCCACACGCAAGGGAAGCGAGTGAGCAGCACCGTGGCGGAGCCCACTAGATAACTGATAAAATAGTACTCCACACCGCCACAAACGCATCAATAATTCGATTTAATGATGTGGAATTTGATTACAAAACCGCTTCGGATTTTAACCCGACCAGTCATAATCGGCCACTCAAGTCCTTGGAACAGAGATGAAAGTTGGAATTTTAATGTGATAAAAAGGCTTAAAGGGCGGCGAAATCTGAACGTTGAACTGCGACAGAGTTATTTAATATTAATTTGAATGTAGGTTCCTCGGGTTGGCTAAGATGTAACGGAACGGAACCTCTAGAACAAGGAAGCAAGGGGCAACGGTTGAGATGAACTCATTCAAGCGGAGTTCTTTATGCAAATTCGAGCACCAAACCAAAGACATCCTTCCTTTGATTAATGTGGGCTTCATTAATTACATCATTATTTTGGAGATAAGAAAATATAGAAAAAAGTGAACCTTTGCTCAGGCCACTTGTTTTTTGTCCTTGTCTGAAGGGGTATTTAAGATCTCAGATGGGTTCTGTTTGGTTTTCTTACAAGAGTTCATTAAGTTGGCACATGCGTGCCTTGTGGGCTTTGTCTTTAAAATCTCTAGTAATTTGCATTCTGCAGGCTAAAATAGGACAGCTTTTTAGTACAGAACGGACCAGATTTTTTTTTGTTCTGTTTGTCTTTTTGTAATGGAGTTGGGTTACCCAAGAAAAGTATTGGCAGTTTCATTGTTTTATGATGAACCCATAGTGCACGGAAATTGTCAGTGTGTAACCAAAGAGGAGATTTAGTGGGTGTCACGTGGTAAATTCTAGCCCTCAGCTTTCAGACAATGTCAAGTGTAATTTGTTATCAATGGCTTCTTGCAAGGGCTGCTGTGGGTCTGACTTTGCACAGAAAGAAAGTAGAGAAAGGGCAAAAAAGAGGGACTACTTTCATACACCTAGCTCTGATAAGAAAAGTTGGTAGGGAGAGTACTAACGCTGCTATTAGTTTTGCCCTGTGGGACAATAAAAAAGACAACTTTGTTTAGGGGGATAAGCCTCTTGGAGTGAAAAGAAAGTCATTAGTCCACTTCTTTGTGCGTCATGGCTGTCTCCATCTCAGTATTTGACTAATTCTGATGAGGACTTGTTGTCTCAAAATTTTCATATAATTAGCATCTTGTTCCTTCCTTGCGCAAAGAATAGAAAATTAATACACAATTTGGCTTGTGAATTACCTTTTGTATGGAATAGTAGCTATCCTAGTTTGCCGTAGAAATCAGACCAACCCTGTCCGTTACCTCATGCTCTTCAAATGCTGACAAGGCATCCCTATGGTAAGTGTTCAAAATGCCATTCCTGATTTGCCAAACATTTAATTATGCATAAATGTCAAATTGGCCTTTGGCATTTGTCACATTGTTATGGATGCTGATCAATCTTCACTTATCAAGTTGTCAAACAGTCCTGATTCCCATCTACTTCTCTTCAATAATGGTGATGAAACTGAGAAATTGCTCAAGCTTTTGATAACAAGTGAAGTTCATCACCAATAGTCTTGACAAGAACATGAGCCATCTTTAAAATGGTGGAAGCGAAGCCTATCACGGACACTAATCTCTCTATTAGTAACAATTGAGATAAACTTGATTGCTGTATGACAATCCTCACACATTCGGAGGTTCTTGACAATCCTGATGGCCACACCAGAGCTGGTTTTTAATAGCCCAAATGCTGTTGCAAGCTTCTCACTGTGATATCTGAGGGCATGTTCCCTCTCCTCTTCTTCCACTTCATGCATCACAGATTCGGATGCTGGTGTATAGCCAGCTTCCCTGCACCTATTCATCAAATCATCCAAATACAGATAAATTTTATTTGTCTCGGGATGTGACTTGTCACCCATACTAAACAAATAAATCTTCTGATCAATATCTATGGTGCTATAGCCAACTTCCTTCTTCAGCCGATTCCTTATCATTATGTTTCTGACCTTTTCCACTCGATCCATCCTACCTGCCAATGCATATATATTCGAAAGCATTACATAATGGCCTGGATTTTCTGGTTCAATACTTAAAAGATGCTCTGCCACTTCTACTCCAAGATCGAAATTCTTATGCATCTTGCAAGCCCCAAGCATTGCAGTCCAGACTGCCGGAGCTGGCTCTTCAGGTATCACGCTTTTGATAAATTGATACGCTTCATGCAAGTGTCCAGCACGACCAAGCATATCCACCACACAAACATGATGCTCCACTGATGGCACCAGTCCATACTCTTGCCTCATGCTGGCAAAAATCTGGCGCCCTTCATTAACAAGCCCTGAGTGAGCACAAGCTGATAAGATGGCAACAAATGAAACATTATTGGGTCGTGGACCATGAACCTTCATTTCACTAAAGAGCTCAATTGCTTGGCTACCATGACCATGCATTCCATACCCTGAAATCATAGCAGTCCAAGCAACAACATTCTTTTCCTCCATTGAATCAAAAACCTCTCGCGCTTTACTCACATTTCCACACCTCGAATACATATTAATCAATGCCGTGCCAAGCACCACATTCACATCGAAACAGTTTCTAACAACATACTCATGCACCCAACAGCCTAAACCAGCTGCACCTAACTGAGCACAAGCCGATAACAAACAAACAAATGTTGTGGAATCCGGCTTAACTCCCGAATCTTGCATCAAATAAAACAACCCAATTGCTTCCTTCCCTAATCCATTCTGCTCGTACCCTGAAATCATTGAATTCCAAGCTACTACAGTTTTTTCAGGCATTTTATCAAAGACCTTACGGGCAACCCCCAAATCACCAGATTTTGCATAAAAGCTTACTAGAGCCGCTTGAACATACGAATCCAAACCGTACCCACAAATCAAAACGTGACAATGAACAGTTTTACCAATATTAAAAGCCATTAAATCGGTACAACATTTAACCACGGCCGAGAATGTGTAATTTGAAGGTGAAATATTGGCTGATATCATCCGGCGATGGTAGACAAGGGATTCAAGAGGGAAATTGAATTTGGAGGTTAATGTAATTAGGGAATGGAAGAGAAAAGTATCGGGCTTGGAGATGGAAAGGAAGAGGCGACGAAGGTAGCAAACGGGCGGAGTGGCGGCGCAAGCGAAAGAGAGGAGTTTGGTGATGAGGGATTGGCTACGACCCGAGCCGGTGATGACAATCCGCGTGTGGACTTGTTGAAGAGGTTTAAGACGGGGGCCTGCTCGGAGAATTGAGCGGTAGGCTGGTGATTGCGAGGACGGCGGTGCTTGATGAAGTTGTTTGGCTTCCATGTAAAATTGCCATGAAAGAGAGGGAAAGTCTTGAGAATTAAATGGAGGGCAACTTATGGTGAGTTCATGCTTTTGCGGCGTTAAGTGTAATGCTGTAAACATCATTTACACTTAGATAATGACCGTCCGACTTCCAACATAATATATAGATCATGAGTAAGAATAAGTATATATTCTTGTTAATTACAAAGCAAAAATAGTATGTCCCTTTTTCTCACTATGAACAGTTAATGTTTCAAGGAAGTTCAAAGGTACACATGATCACTATACATGTGGGCAGTCATATTCAAAGACTGCAGCATCGCTTCTCCTCTTTTGTTGAAACTAAATGTGGATATACCCCCATTATTCACATCAATTGCCCGAAACCTGAAGCACAAAAAGAATTGTTAGGGGCAGCCAAAGGTAGAACAGGAACGGAATGGGGCCTTGCAATGGTAGTTGTAATTATGTTTAGAACATGACATACCTCTCAGGGGCTAGCCCTAAAGCTGTGCAGATCATTGCCCTTAACATTGATTTGTGGGTCACAACTAGAAAATTTTCTCCCTGATACGAACGATACAAGATTCTTACTCATCAATCAAATTGATTGGCAATGCAAGAGGTGGTAGAAATTACAAAAGCAAGAGAGCATACAGGTGTCAACAAGATTTCCCTCCAGGCTTCTCTAGCTGTTGCCCATAGTTTACGAACAGGGTAGACACCATTCACGTAGAAATTCGCAGGGTCCTCTCTCCATGTTACATACTCCTTTGGATATATTACCCTAGCATCCACTGCCTCCAAATCCTGAATGCCATTTAGTCTTATACATGCAGAACTAAATAAATGATGAAAAGAATTTGCATAATTCCAAAGCAGAATGAGCCAGCTCAGTTAACTGGGTTACTGAACAATTTACAGAATCAAATAAGGGTTCATTCAGGCAGTATATGTGTGAAACAGACCATTTTTCATGCCTTCAAGGAAAAAAAGATGGGCCTCCTTTAGCGAATCAAGGAAAACCAGAGGCTCTTCCCTCCCTTGCCATAACACTTCAGCCGTGGTCTGCATTAAATAAAGATGGTTCAAAATCAAAGAGAATCCTATACATCCAACCTTGACGATTAACATTGGTAATCATACCTTAGCGCGGGATATTGGGCTTGAAAAACATTGATCGAAGTGCATATTTGAAAGGGCTTGCCTACACCTCTCAGCTTGCTTCACTCCAGTTTCTGTCAGAACAGATAAGTTTGAGCTTCCCTGCAATACTAACACTAACAAAGTTAGCAGTTCACAATTCATGGAGTTCTGAGACACATGGAAGAACAAACTTCTTATATGTTCACAATAGCAGTCAACTCAAAACTCGTTAAACCCAGTTCTCACATCAATATCTTACAGATTTCAACTACACCCACTACCCACAGACAAGATCTTCTAATAAAAAATAACTAACAAGAGCAGAAGGCAACAAACCTGAACTCTACCCTCTTCATTCCAAGAGCTGAGGCCATGCCTGACAAGAGTTACCCTCTTTGAGGTCGATAGGGACTTACGAGTTAGTGATATGGTGGCTCTTTCAAAATCATAAGCAGTACCAGTCAAGGAATGATCATCTTCATGTTTATCTGCCATATACACAGTGAAAGTCAACTTTTAAGTTGCAAATAACATACAATAGTACTTCGTAACAGTTGTATCGAGAAGTAACGATAATATTATTACCAATAATTAATTTAAGGCGACTAAGGAAGTCAGGCTAATTGTATATCATGTGACATTTAGCATTGATTGACAGACAGTCAGGTTCATTATGTGGTATAATCAAAGCCATATGCAAAATCAAATTAAAGACAATTCCTCCAAAGAGAAGAACCCCTTAAGAGCGGTAGCTGAAAACGAATATACTGATTCAAGACAAGTGCTTTGGTAACTATACAGGACACAGCGATCGCGCAACATTTCTCTTGTCTAGCAGTTTCAATTTTTGAACTCACCAAGGAACCTTTTCATCTTTTCTATCATTCACCAGGTAAAATCTAATCAAAAAGGTCAGAAACAGGAAATGAAAATAGAGAAATTAAGCATAGAACTTACCAGCAGTTATGGGCCACTCTGCACTGGAACTTGAGCATCGAATTCTAGGTGTTGAACGACGAAGATTGTAGTGCTTTGTAGCTCTTTTAGTATCTTTGGAGGTTAAATTTGAGAACAAAGGAATGGTTAAGGACAGAGCTTCACAAACCATTTTCTTGAAAGATGGGGAGCAAAGATTATGATTCTATGCTCCTTCGCTACGCATTTGGCACTACCTACACTTGCTGGTTGGTGGTTTCTAACTTTCTAGGAGGAGCTAAGAGCGTGGTGAAAATACATAAAGGATTTTGTATCATCAAACCTTTGACCATCCGGAGTTAGGAAATGTAATCTAGTTTGAATGGTGGGGATTTATTTTCCGGTCATGCGCTGAGGTTTCGGCTAAGTGGTCCTTGTGCTCACGTTATCTGATGTCTAATATTAAGAAAATATCAGACTTTTCTTCTACAAAATATCTGATTCTAGATATATATCGGTAACAAGGTGCGGAAGATTCGGTCAAGTATGCCGTTTAGCTGATGTCGGTTTCCTGTTGTCTTTTAACCATGTTTCATGTTGATGACATGGAGGGTTCTGTTCGGATAATGGATCATGGTTTGGTCCATTCTAATTTAGACTCACAAAGGCTTAAGCCCATCAGGTCATTACAGACTTTCTGAGCTGAATTCTGGAAGTGGGATTGGTATCCATTTTACATAACATTGTCTTAGTAACTGTTAAATACATAATTTATTGGAGAAGTGACTGATACATGAATCCTCAAGTTCAAATCTCCAATTTCTTCGAATCATAAACATAATCATACATTAAAATAATAATAAAAAGACAAAGCAAGAAACAAGAGAACATAGCACAAAAACGCTTAAACACCATTTTACGGTCTGTCTTTCTAAGGTTTGACAGGAAATAGGGGACTGAGGACAGCATGAAGAGAATACAGATTGAGCACCAAGTAAACTATAGCTGCGACGAAACCTGCTACAAGGGCTCCAGTGACATGGTCGCAGAATTTTGGAACTTGTCCGCAAATGGGCAGCCAACCTGCATGACTGTTCCCCTTCTTGCCAATCTGAGCTATTGCCAAGGCAGCTGAGATACTTGAGGTTAGTAGCATTGCTATGACCACATCTAGGATCACAATCAGGCGCCAAACCAAACTCTTTGAAGAGAGAAAAAGAACTATAAGGCTGTAGCCACTTGCAATTGCCTCAGCAATCACATAATACCTATGCCAAAAATTTGATTACCAAGAAATAATATTAGGAGACCAAATGTGACGATTATCTCAAGAACCCCAAGCAAAAATGAAAAAGAGAGAGAGAGAGAGAGAGGATGGTGAATCTTACTTGAATGTAGGGGAGTTGGTATATTTTGCAGAGAATTTCAAGTTCAAAACGTCGGCAGAGTCATGGCTAGTAACCATGACAACTGTTGCAGAGAGAGTTGCACCTAAGGCTAGAAGCCTTAGGAGGGTGGTGATGATCCCCCTGGCTTTGACCATGAAGATCGTCTTCAAACTGACTCAACCAGTCAAATGATAGGAGGCAAGAACTGGAACTCTTTTGAAAAGCTTAAATGAACCTGATAAAGTGAGGAAAATTGATGCAGATGTCAGATGTGAACGAGATGAGTACAGCACTGTTCTTGGAAGACAGATAGGTGGTAGTGCACTAGTTTCCTCAACATATATTTGAAGAGGAACAGAATGATTTGGTAACCTGCCAAAGCTTAAAATTTATATGTTTTTTATCTTAAAAAAGAAGAAGCATGTGTGACACTGAAGAAATTCAAAAGAAGGCACTCAAATCTATTGGGCAAGTTTTGCAGTTATGTTCCTATATGATTACATGTACAAAGCTTTGATTGCACGGAGAAGGTTCCTGCATTAGCTCGATATAGCTGAATCTGTTCAACTACCTCTCTGAAAGACGTACGGCTATTGCCAGTTTTTTCTGTCCACCTGGGCTTTAGCCTTTAAGTCTTCTGCTAGTGGTCAGCTAAGTTAATTTATCTTTACAAAATGGATGGCCCTTGGAGGATTGATAATGCATACCTTGTTCCCTTACTCATGCATATTAAACTTCCCTTTTTTAGTACAAAAGAAGTGTGAGTTATACCACGAGAGAAAATTATTTTTAATTAGAATTTCGATTCGAGATTTTCATAATAAAATCTCAAATTATTGTATTATATTAGATATTTATTCTGTTAATATACGATAAACACATTTTTCAATTCTAAAATAAAAAAATGTAAATAAAAAATATTCTATCGTTCCACAAATTTGAGATATTCAAAAGTGTTATTAATTGAGGTTTCCATTTGCCTTGATCAGATAACTATCAATCTTGTTTTGTTTTGTTTTTTTGTTGTTATTTTTATTTTTTGAGGGGGTCAGGGCAAGGGTTGACAGCTTTGTTTTCATGTTTGGGGCTTAAAACGGGCCTTGACCCACTGAAGCCCACCACATGGGCTTGGCCGCCTGGTTCAATACTACTTGGGCCTTGAATTGACCATGATTAATCCAAACAGTTCACAAAATGAACATAAACGTACATTTAGTGCTCATTTGATGAACGAAAAATAATTTATTAAGAAAAAAATTTTATATAAAAAATTTATAAAGAAATTTAATATTTTTATTTAAATAAATTATTTAAAATATTTTTTATTATTTAGATGATTTTATGAAAATTATTTTTAATAATTGTAAACGAGTCCTCTCGGTGTTAAAGATGACAAAATATGAGTTGGTTACAAAATAATAGTAATTTTTTTTATAAATTAAAATTAAGAATAAAAATAAAAATAAACAAAATTAATAATGATATTTTTTAAATTATTTAATTATATATCTATAATGAAGGTTACTTTTAATTTTCAGAAAAACAAAAAACCATCTCATCAATTTTTTAGCATAATATTATAAAGTTATCAATATTTATTTAATTGTGTAAGGTAAGATTAAGATATTAAAAATCTATATTTATAAACATGTATTCATCAAATAATAATTATTGAAATATTTTTATTCTAATTATTAGTAGAGATTTATTTAATTTATAAATAAATTTTTTGATTTCATCAGATGATTTTATTACATTTTTTATTTTAATAATATTAAATAATTTAAATATTAATATTTTAATTTTTAAAGTTAAATATTAATAATTTTTAAAATTTTAAAATATTATTAATTAAATATCCATAATTATCAAACTTATACTAGTAGTTTTAGTATAAAAGGTTTTTTTTATTTTTTGAAAATGCCTCTCATAGACGTAAAATAGTTTACATGATCATTAAATTTTGTATTGATTTGAAAAATATTTTACATTTAAAATAATTTTTTTATCTTTTAAATAAATATAAATTTTAAAAATATTAAAAAAAACATTTTACCTCAAAACAAAATAACTTTTAAAACATTTCAAACAAATAAGGATCCGACCCGATCCGTCCGATTGACCCGTATCCGATTGTCTGGTTGACCGCCTTCTCTTAAAACCCGTATTCATGTAAAATGACCAAGAAAAATCTTATTTCTTTCAGAACGCCATTCACTATCCCTTCTCCCACTCTCACCTAGGGTTTTACTTGCAAATTTTCCCTCCAAATAAAAGCAAGAAGAACAGCGCCAAACAGAAGAAAAACCCTAGCTATGGAGGACGACAGTGAGTACGATCCGCAACTTATGGACGACGAAGACGACGAGGAGATCACGCAGGAAGACGCGTGGGCGGTTATCTCAGCTTACTTCGAAGAGAAAGGTCTGGTGCGTCAACAGCTCGATTCGTTCGATGAATTTATCCAAAACACTATGCAAGAAATCGTCGACGAATCGGCCGATATTGAAATCAGGCCAGAGTCACAGCACAATCCTGGTCACCAGTCCGACTTTGCTGAGGTTTTTTTCTTTTTTCATTTCTTTTGAAATAACGCTAAAATTTCGGTTTCTAGGGTTGGAGGTAGTTGTTATTGGAGTTTCATTAAAATTTCGGTTTGTAGGGTTCGAGGTAGTTGTTATTGGAGTTTAATTGTAGGTTGTTTGGTTCTTTTGACTTGAGAAAGTTACATGTAGGAATTGTGACAAATAATTTTGTAGTTGATTTGAATTTTATTTGTAAATTTTGTTTATTCGGTGCTTACCTGAGGTGAAATTAATTAAAAAGTTAAGGAAGCGATCTAGATAATCATTATGGAGAGTTTTTTTAAATAAATACAAAGTTTAGAAATTAATAACGTGTACAGCCTCTGGATATTTAGCTTCTTTCATTTAAAATCGTAGCTACTTTATTAAGATACTAAGTTCCCTCCATATATTACCACATCTAACATAATGCTGCCGGAATTGATTGGTTTGACTATTTCTTGTTTTTCATGGTTAGTTATCAATGTAATTTCAAAGTTAACTTACCATAATTGTCATAGTTTCCAATCCCTTCTTTATTTGTACTATGTTGGAGATGTTTCCTTTCAATAATAGATTGTATTTGAAGATTGTTTTACTTCCTTGCTTGCTTGTGTAGCATCTTAGCTCTTTGACGGTCATATTAAGCCCAAGGTTTTCAAGTTTTTGTTCCTTAAGTTAGTTGTTTCTTTTGTTTGGGTTTCTGAGTACTAGTGCTTTTCTGCAGACTATCTATAAGATTAGCTTTGGTCAGATCTACCTTAGTAAACCTATGATGACTGAGTCAGATGGTGAAACTGCAACTTTATTTCCAAAAGCTGCAAGGTTGAGGAATCTTACTTACTCAGCTCCGTTGTATGTCGATGTAACTAAGAGAGTTATAAAGAAAGGGCATGATGGTGAAGAAGTCACTGAGACTCAGGATTTTACGAAAGTGTTCATTGGGAAGGTTTGCAATCCAAACTTTCTATTAGTAAATGGGTGAATTTCACTTTTGATATTGACCGCTCATTTTTTCTATATTGCATGTTCTTAGGTTCCTATAATGCTCCGGTCAAGTTATTGCACCCTATATCAAAATTCAGAGAAGGATCTGACCGAGCTTGGGGAGTGTCCATATGATCAAGGAGGGTATTTCATTATCAATGGGAGTGAAAAGGTTCTAATTGCTCAGGAGAAGATGAGCACAAATCATGTCTATGTCTTCAAAAAGAGGCAGCCGAACAAATATGCCTATGTGGCAGAAGTTCGGTCCATGGCAGAGTCCCAGAATAGGCCACCAAGTACCATGTTTGTGCGGATGCTTTCTCGGACTAGTGCCAAAGGGGTATTACTTCTGGCATTTGGGATGCTTTTTCCACCAACCTCCAATCATTCAGTGCAGTAGTTTTAAAAGCAAATGGTTTTACATTTTTTTTTTTTGGTTTTTATGTATAAACTGCAGGGCTCTTCAGGGCAGTACATTCGTGCTACTCTTCCATATATTCGGACTGAAATTCCTATCATAATTGTCTTTCGGGCCTTGGGATTTGTTGCTGACAAGGACATATTAGAGCATATATGCTATGACTTCTCCGACACCCAGATGATGGAGTTGCTTAGGCCTTCCTTAGAAGAAGCATTTGTGATTCAAAACCAGCAGGTGCATTTTCTTCTTCTTTTCCCTTTTTAATCTCAAAGTTCTGACTTGAGGTGCTGTTTGGGTTGAAAGGTTGATTGGAGTGAGTGTTATTGTGGCTTTCATTGCTCCTGTGTGAACTAAGTTTTGTGCATTGATCATTTCTATCACCTTGTATATTCCTATGTGTGTCAAAGTTGCACTTTTCTAGTCTATTCATCTGATGATTATGAGATGGTCAGAATTAGGGCTTGATCCTCTTGTGATGTTGATAATTTCTGCTGCTTGTGTTTAATGTGGCTCTCTCGTTCTCCTCTACCTCAGGTTGCACTAGATTATATTGGTAAAAGAGGAGCAACTGTTGGTGTTACCAGAGAAAAGAGGATTAAGTATGTCCTGTGTTAGCAAATTTCCTTGGGTGATGAAATGTTTAATGTGAACATTTGTAATGCTCATTGAGAAGCTTCTGAGCATCTTCCTTACAGGTATGCTAAAGAGATCCTCCAAAAAGAAATGCTTCCTCACGTAGGTGTTGGAGATTTTTGCGAGACAAAGAAAGCTTATTATTTTGGGTAGGTATAGTGTTGGCAATGACTGTGATTGTATTATTATATTCTGATTCTTACTATATCGTCCTCTTTTATCAGATATATTATTCACCGGCTGCTTCTTTGTGCACTTGGCCGGAGGGCGGAAGATGATAGAGATCATTATGGCAACAAGAGGTTGGACCTTGCTGGTCCATTACTTGGAGGCCTCTTTAGAATGGTATGTTTTTAGGCAGATAGTTATTGAAATGTTGATTGCTCAATATCATTTTGACAGGCTATCTGATCTTTGGTTGTGATTTCTCTGCTGCAGCTTTTTCGGAAGTTAACTAGGGATGTGAGATCTTATGTGCAGAAGGTTCTTTCACATAATCATTGCCTTTTCATTTTCACTGCAATTTGACTTTCATTTTTCCTAGATTTGTACTTAAAAGTTTAATGGCTTGATGATAGTGTGTTGATAACGGGAAGGATGTGAACCTGCAATTTGCTATCAAAGCAAAAACTATTACAAGTGGTCTTAAATACTCACTTGCTACTGGAAATTGGGGGCAAGCAAATGCAGCTGGTACTAGAGCTGGAGTGTCACAGGTAAGAGCTGATTATTCAGTTTATGTAGTGTGGATTTATACTGAACTGTTCCTCATCCGAGTTTTATGTCATAGCATGAAGTACCTGTACCTTCACCCATTTGCCTTCCCAATTTGCAAGTCCTCATATGATGTTCATTTGTCTTCTTTTATAGGTGTTAAACCGTTTGACATATGCCTCAACTTTGTCACACTTGCGAAGGCTCAATTCTCCTATAGGACGTGAAGGTAAAACTACTTACTGTTTTATATTATTCATTTGTCCTCCCTACTCTAACATGCATAGATTAGCCTCATTTGTTTTGATGATTTTTCTTTGGTTGTATTTTGTTAGCAATTCAACACTTGTTTTTATAGGCTCTTATGGTACTTTAACTAATAAAGGACGTCTTGACCAGGGAAATTGGCTAAACCACGTCAGTTGCATAATTCACAGTGGGGAATGATGTGTCCAGCGGAAACACCAGAAGGACAGGTGAGTATTTTTCCTTTTAAGTAAACTTCCATATGTATTTGTTGATAATAGATTCTTCTGACCATGTGGCGCTCATAATTATTTGTGGCTGCATCAGGCCTGTGGACTTGTAAAGAATCTTGCCTTGATGGTATACATAACTGTTGGATCAGCTGCATATCCTATTCTTGAATTTTTGGAAGAGTGGGGTACGGAGAATTTTGAGGTGCATACTCTTCATAGTTTTCTGCCAATTTATACTTTATTTTTTATATTTTTTTCCTAATTTGATAATTTCCTTCAATTTTCAGGAAATCTCACCTGCAGTTATTCCTCAAGCTACAAAAATTTTTGTCAATGGTTGCTGGGTTGGTGTACATCGGAATCCTGATATGCTTGTGACAACATTGAGACGGTTGAGAAGACGGGTATTGTATTCTTTGTGTACTTGGATCTTGTGCATAAAACTTTATCTTTCAGCTTAAGTGGAGTTTCATATAGAGAACCTGTTGTTTGGTTTGCAAGCTAATCTATGATGTGGAATTATGTTATGATTTTTATGTAATATTGTCGCAACATGGAGGTCCAGCATGATTGAGAAGCATTTATTGTGACATCATAAGTTGAAAGAATGCTGTTTGTGTTTGGATGGTGATGAATCTTTACAATTATATGTGCAGGTTGATGTCAACACTGAAGTTGGTGTTGTTAGAGATATCCGTCTAAAAGAACTTCGAATATATACTGACTATGGTCGTTGCAGTCGACCATTGTTCATTGTGGAGAAACAAAGACTTCTCATAAAGAAGAAAGATATTCATGCACTGCAACAAAGAGTGAGCAACTTGTAGCCTGCTATATGTTCTTGTACTTAAGTTTATTTCCTTCCTGTCTATTCATTGGTTTTATTCTTTCAGGAAAGCCCAGAAGAGGGTGGCTGGCATGATCTTGTAGCAAAGGGATTTATAGAATACATTGACACGGAAGAAGAGGAGACAACAATGATTTCCATGACCATCAATGTGAGTAAAAATAGTTTTGATTGGTCAAAATAATGCTAGAAGAGTTGAATGTACATTCTACTCATCTAGCTTCTTGAGAGGATATAAGGCAATCTCTGAAACTTAATTGTTTAAATTCTGTTCCAGGATCTTGTACAAGCGAGAGTCAATCCAGAGGAAGCTTATTCTGAAACTTATACCCATTGTGAGATCCACCCTTCATTGATTTTGGGTGTTTGTGCTTCAATTATACCATTTCCTGATCATAATCAGGTATGCTTGTGCTTATATTGAACATCATCTGATTGGATATGTTTAAATTTTTATTCCGTTTTATTTACTTGTTTATTGTCAATGCTATCAGTCCCCGCGTAATACCTATCAATCTGCTATGGGTAAGCAAGCAATGGGAATATATGTTACGAACTACCAATTTCGAATGGTATGTATTGCTTCCTATTTACGTGATTATAACTGTCACACCTGGGAAATATTGTCATGATTTATCCCTCTGTGTTCTACTCAGGATACATTGGCCTATGTTCTCTACTATCCCCAAAAGCCACTTGTTACTACACGAGCTATGGAACATCTCCACTTTCGGCAGCTACCAGCTGGCATTGTAAGTGTTGGAACTTTTATTATCCATTTCCATAGTTGCTCTCTCTTTTTCTATAATTCTTACTATTGTTTCTTTGCCTGTCTTTTTATCTTAGAATGCTATTGTTGCTATTGCCTGCTATTCTGGATATAACCAAGAAGATTCTGTTATTATGAATCAATCATCAGTAGACCGTGGATTCTTTCGATCACTTTTCTTCCGCTCTTACCGGTAAGATTCTGTTGATATGTCTTTTTCCTACTTTTAAATTGTTAGATAGGGGCCTGTTGGATCCCATACTTGAGTTTGTTCTTACTCCTTATAAATGTTCATGTAAATTTCCATCCCTTGCAGGGATGAGGAGAAAAAAATGGGGACCCTTGTTAAAGAAGATTTTGGTCGACCAGATAGGGCTAATACTATGGTGAGGACTGAGCATAGCCTCATTTGTTTGTTGCTTTTTGCCACTTCAAAGTTAATATAATGTGAACCAAATACTAATCATTTGATTTAAATAAGAAAATGGTTCAAATGTGAAACTAATTCAAACATAGTTTTTCTATTAAAAGAGTATGATTATGTGTTTTGTTTTACATGGGATGGAAATCGAATTTTTAATTTTTTTTAAAAATACTACTGTTTTTGTATCTAAACGCACTTTCTTACTTTTTTCTTAGTGTGCTAAAATAACAAATAGATAAGCTCATATTAAATGTAGGTTTGAGTAATACCATGGAAAAAGAGTATTGGCATGGAGAAAAGGGTTTCCAGTCATTGGTTGCCACTTGTGTGAGTGTTTGCATTTGACACATAATTTGCTTTTCAGGGAATGAGGCATGGCTCTTATGATAAATTGGATGATGATGGTCTTGCACCTCCTGTAAGTGGAAAATTTAGCATGCTGCTTCTATGTGAATCCCATTATTGTTGATTCAACCATAATTTCTTAAGATTAAATTATTGTTGTCCCTTAGGGAACAAGAGTTTCAGGTGAGGATGTAATCATCGGAAAGACCACGCCGATTTCTCAGGAAGAAGCACAGGGACAAGCATCACGCTATTCAAGACGTGATCATAGCATAAGCTTACGTCACAGTGAAACAGGCATAGTGGACCAAGTAAAGACTTTGAATTGTTGTTACTAATTGTTTTAAGTAGAGATATTGCATTCATATATGTTGTTTTAGTCTGTACAATTTGTAGTTGCTTATGGTTTGTGACTTCTTCATTGTACTCACTTTTTTAATTCTTTGCTAGGTTCTATTGACAACTAATGCTGATGGGTTGAGATTTGTGAAAGTAAGGGTAAGATCTGTTCGCATTCCCCAGATCGGGGACAAGTTTAGCAGTAGGCATGGTCAAAAGGGAACAGTGGGCATGACTTACACGCAGGAAGACATGCCTTGGACTGTGGAAGGCATTACACCTGATATCATTGTGAACCCACATGCTATTCCTTCTCGAATGACAATTGGTCAGCTTATTGAATGTATCATGGGGAAAGTTGCAGCTCACATGGGCAAGGAAGGGGATGCCACTCCTTTTACAGATGTCACCGTAAGTTACAATCTCTTGATAGATTTGGGTATTTTCTTGATTTGAGTTTATTTGATGTTCTCTGACAATGTTATAGTAGTTATTACCAGAAATCATATGCTTGTATGGTAATACCTACTCTGAGTGACAGGCTGAAGTAGTAATAGGTGCATTTTAGAGATCCTAGAGATAAGAGCTTTGGAGTATGGCAATCTATTTTGACTAGGAAGTGTTATGGTGTAAATGTGATATAACTATGGATACGGTTTAATCTTTTTAATTGTTGTTTGATGTTTTAGGTGGACAATATCAGCAGAGCTCTTCATAAATGTGGGTATCAAATGCGTGGTTTTGAGACCATGTATAATGGGCACACGGGCAGGCGCCTTACTGCTATGATATTCCTGGGGCCCACATATTACCAAAGACTAAAGCACATGGTTGATGATAAGATCCATTCACGTGGACGGGGCCCTGTGCAGATCCTCACAAGGCAGCCTGCAGAGGGACGATCCCGTGATGGTGGTCTCCGTTTTGGAGAGATGGAAAGAGATTGCATGATTGCGCATGGTGCTGCTCATTTTCTTAAAGAGAGATTGTTTGACCAAAGTGATGCATACAGGGTCCATGTGTGTGAGCGTTGTGGGTTGATTGCTATCGCAAATCTAAAGAAGAACTCATTTGAGTGCAGAGGATGCAAGAATAAAACTGATATTGTTCAGGCAATCCTTCTCTTCGCCTTGTTTTGTTTCCTTTTATGCCTTGTGTTACGGCTTTTGTATTTGTCTCTAACGTGTGGTTTTGTTGGTATGATAATTGCGCTGCAGGTATACATTCCTTACGCCTGTAAGCTGCTCTTCCAAGAGCTTATGGCCATGGCAATTGCTCCAAGAATGCTCACAAAGGAACTTCCCAAAGACCAAAAGAAGAAAGGAGCCTGAGATACGTGAGCAAATCAAGTCCAGTTTTCTTCCTCTTCATCTTGAAGCCTGCCGACAGAGGACAATTGGTATAAAAAGAGCTCAAAGATGGATATTCTAAAGCCAAATTCGGCTTTTTTAGTGGCTGGCTAACTCTTGCCTGTGCTGAGATAGAAAGTCAAAGCGGGAGTGAGAGATGGTTGTAATAAATAATCTGTTCCTTTTTCACATAACCGCTAGTGAATTCATGTGTCTAGAGTGGGGATTGTGTATGAACATGATGTTGTATCATCTATCATTTATGTTAACCTTTGTAGCCCTATCCAGAATGTTAGTACTAGTTAGGGGCTTATTCATTACGATGATTTATTGCTAATCTTGAATTTTTCTGTGGATATGTTTACCAAATTTTGGAAAAGAAAAGGAAGATATACCGCTATTCTTTTCTGTATTACTCTCTTTTTGTGTGTGTTCTTTTTCTAGAGTTTAGAAATGGCATAATATTTAAAAATAAATTAAATAAACTATTATGTTTTATTCTACTTAATTAAGTGATTGTATTTTTATTTTAGATTAAATAAATTTTTATTATTAATGTTTGATTAACTTATTGATATATATTGTATAATATTGATGTAGTATAATGATACAATCATATGTTTATTTTTTAATTAATTTTATATTTTTAAATATAAGATAATAAAAAATATTTTAATTGATAATAATTGATCTATTATTAATTAGAAAGATATAATTAGAAAAAATAAAAATTTATATGAATTTTTGTAAATAACATAAATTTTTTTAACTATTTATAAATATTAAAATTTGAAAAATAGTTAAGTTGGGCCGAGCAGGCCCAACGGGGGTGCCAAGGCTAGAAATTTTATTAAATTATATAAATGAGGACTCTTGAGAAAATTTTGATAAAACTGGAGCCTGTCATTGTTCTTTAAAATAATATAAATCCGCTGAAAGGCTCCGGGTGGCGAGGGCGTGCTTCTGAGTGAAACGACGCCGCTCCGCAGTGGTTTTTGTGTTTCCTCTAATAGTATAAACCGACTCTTTTCAGTTACGCATACGCGCAAAGTTGTAAATGGCGAACAAAGAGGGGGGAGAACAGCACCAACAACAACAGGTAGAAGAAGAAGAAGAAGGGCCGCCGCCAGGATGGCAATCTATTCCTCCTCCGCAACCGCCGCCATCATCTGGTATCATTATGCCTTCAAAACTCTCTCTCTCTCTCTCTCTCTGATTTTTAGCGTATATCGTGGAGAAAACTAGATCAAACTCTGTGACCATACCTCGAAATTAGAGATACAATTATGTTGGCTAATTTATTTATACAAATTGATAAAGTTTTGGAATTCAATTGGGATTCTTTAATAGTTGCCTTCTTTGATACTTGGCCTTGGTACGAATGTGTTATCGAATTATGACGACAAATAGAATTGCAACTACGATCAAACTCTATGACTCAAGAGCTGGTCTTGATCTAGAATTATACATAAATTTTGTTTTCTTGAATTGTTATCTTCTATTTGCCTGCATAATTCCATGGCATTTCACTTTCTTTTTTAAAATAAAAGTTCTTCCCTTTCCTCACTTTGCTTTGCTTTACTTTTGCCATTATGGATGCAGAAATGGCTCAAATGGTTTGTGGTTCATGCCGCCAATTGCTTTCATATCCAAGAGGAGCCCGGCAGGCTAAATGTTCATGCTGTGAAACAGTCAACTTTGTACTTGAAGGTACTTTTTTTCTCTGTTACTCAAAAAATATATAATTGGTCTCTACCCCAGATTAGTAATAAAGCTTTTTGTTTTTTTGTTGATTGGTTTTTCCTCCTGTTTCTCTATCTTCTCGCCATTGTTTTAAGATAGCTTCCATGTTCGTTTTCCCCCATTACTGACATAGCACAAATCATAGTTATTAAAACTCATGGGCTTTCAAATGGACAAGAATAAATATGCAATCTAGGAATTTATTGTCAATCATCTGATAACACTACCCTACGTTTAGCAGCGCATCAGGTTGGACTGGTTAAGTGTGGCAGTTGTGCGTTGTTGCTCATGTACCCGTTTGGAGCTTCATCCGTCAGATGTTCCTCTTGCCATCTTGTGACAGAAATCGGGGTGTGCAATATTTGTTTTTCTTGCAAATTTATATGTTGACTTGCTTGCATCAACGTGCACGTGTGTGTGTGTGTGTGTGTGTGTGCATGCAAGCGGAGCAGATTGTTATTGCTGCTGTTTTTTACATCACCGAGATCAGTAGACTGATTATGTTGATTTCTTTATGTCTAGGCACACAACAGGCGCCCTCCCTGGTCTGTACAACAGGGGCATCCGACGCCTCCCAAAGCTGTGCATTAAACTGCCAATACCTGTCTGATCTATTAATTTTGGAGCTACCTTTATTTATCTGGATGTTTAGTTGAATTATCAATGTAGAGAAGTTACTGCTGATATTGTCTAATGAAACTTCTAATCGATTTGGATGTGTTAATCAAAGTTAATAGAGCTCTTAATATATATGTTTCTCCCTCCCCACCTCTCCGCTCTTGGCATGAACCCCGAAACATGAATTTCTTCCAATACCATTCTGTACTCTTGTCTTTTTTATTACTAGTTTTATTCTTTCTAATTTGGTAAGGGATGCATTGAAACTCAAAAGAAATCATTTTTTACAACAGTTTCAGAGCCTTAAAGGGAAGATGACTCTCGATGGCCTACAAGTAATTAACTTTGGTTTTTGTGTTTATGTTCTTAAGTAGAAATGCATGGGAAGTTTTAAATGCTGTAAATCAGAAGCTACACATTCCAAAGGATGAAAAGGTTATCTGAGTAAGATGTTTTCTGTATTTGCATTTTGAAACAAACCTTTCAATCTTCAGGAGGGAAGTCTTCATCCGACCCATTGTCCAGAAAAGAACCTAGAGTTTTCCTCAAAATGCTGAAAGTTCTGTCATCCTGCATTTTGCCAGAACATATAATGGTACTACAGCTCTTGAAGTCAGTGGGAAAGTAGATTGTATTCAACTACTGGATTTTTTATTATTTAATTACCTGTTTCTTTTTCTTCAAGGACTCCTCCAACTGAGCAATTTTATCAGCACAGAATTTCTCTTGCTCAGATATCAAGTTCTTCTCTTTTTTCCCTGATACCAACCAATGTTAAATTAGTAGAATCAGGTGTCATTAAAACAGAGGGAGAGAGATTTTGTTGCTTAGTGCTCACTCAATTGTTCATATCGCACAAACAGCCTTTCTTTGTCTTCCTCAAATCTGGAAATAGTATCTGTGAAACAGTATTTAGAATCAGAGCATCCATCCACATAGAACTAAAGTAGTTCAGGAGGATCATGAACTACAAATTCTGAAAGTTTAGTCCAAGTGAGGAAGGAAACGAATTGCTTAGACGAGTAAAGCTATACCAGTATCAGTACCACCAGGCTCAGGCATGATTGACAACAATGTGAAGATCTATCTACACTACAGGAAGAAGTCCTGGGCTATTTGATAATTCACATACCAGTCCCAATAGCTAGAAGATTTTCATTTATTATATAATTTATAACATGGCAATCATAAGGTTTAATTATTGTACCGAATCTTCATGCATTATGTAACTCGACAAGGAAGTAGGACGACACTAGTTTGAACGTGTTTATCATGTCAGCAGCAGTTGAAAAGTTGAAATAAATTAAAATTTTATGTATGAGGCTACTAGTAAATGAAGATACAAAGCATTACTATACATTCTAACAATTTATCCAATAAGAGTACCTTTCAAGGCCTGCAGATGGGCAGCTTTTTCTTTGCAGAATTTCTCATAAACCTCTTGGAACTTAGCAGTCTCATTCTTCAAGCAGTTTTCACACTGCGAACAAGCAATTACATTAGTATTTCAAGCTCTAAACCATTTATTAAATCCGAATAACAAATTCACTTTCATCAACTAGTTTCCTTGTTGAGCCCTGAGATCTCTATGAAGTACCTACCTCTTTTGAGCTCTTTGAAAGTGCCTTAGCAAAAGTTTGTCTATAGAAAAAGGAAACAGCAACAGTAAATTAGTGTATTTACATTAGGAATTGGCTTAAAAATTTGTTTCAAGGTTGGTTTTTTAGGCACTCATGTTTACCTTTCCTTCTCAAATTTGGACTTCAGTTCATCGAGCTTAGACCTTATCTCAGCAGCCACACTGTCACCGAACAATGCAAGTAAGAGACTAAGAATAGTAGCAGAAGTGGATAAGGAACTGGAAATGGTAAGGAAGGATAAAAATAACAAAAAGAATAATGATTAAAACAAATGAAACAGTTTTATTATTTCATTTTCTTCAAATTAAAATTAGTCATGAGAATGAAAGAGATATTATAGAGTAATTGCAATCAACAGTTCATACATTCATTCGATAAAACGTAATGATCTTCACATATCAGCTTAAATAAAAGAAAAATAGATAGGAAATAATAACACGGCACATCATTAATTCAAACCTCAATGCAGTAAAAATTAACACAGATCAAATTAAGAAACTATTTGATTTATGAACTCATAATCGCATATAAATTCTTCAAAGGTATGAAATCGATCCATCAAAATCATACATTAATTCGAAAAATAATATTTACTAGCTCGGAAAATTGAGAAAAACAACTTCATCTTGAAAACTATCGAGGAGATAGTGAAGAAACCGCAAACATATCACAGCTCTTACGTAAAATTGTCATTTATTATAAAAATTTAGAACCAAAATCGTTTCGAAAAAAGAGAGAACGAAATCAAAATTTATATTACCTAGAAATCGTCTCTTCGTTCTTCTTTTGACCGTCCTTCTGTGCTTTCTCTTTGATCTGTTGCAGTGCCGACATAATCCCTTTGAGATCGCTGCAATTTACACCAAAATTTCCTCAATAAAATAAAATCTTCAACAAAGAAATAAAGAAAACACAGGAAAAACAGTTGTTGAGAAGAACGACCTGGAAAGATCGGGATCGAAATCATCGACAAGTCGGGTTTTTGGATCCGATTTGACTAGCGAGGACTCGGATCCTCGCTTTTTGGTTCTGGCTTTGGTTGTTGACATTGTTTCGATTTTTTTTCCTCTTTGGAGAAATTTGAAATTCAAAATCGAGGTAGGGAGAGTGAGGTTTTTTATGCCAGAGAGTACAAGTTTTTCATCTCGCTGCGACCTGGAAAACGAAGAGGTTTGGCCGTTTGGGAACTGGCAATGTCGTTCTTGTTGGGCGCTCATTTGGCGCTTCTTTTCTCTCAATTATTCAAATTGGCTTACGTGTCATTTAGGAAAAAAACTTTATATACTCGCATATTTTTAAAACTTTTTTTACCATGAAATAATTTTTTTAATTTTTTATTTAATTTTAAAACTAGATATAGTATTTATTCTTATAGATGTCGTAAGATTGTTTTTCTTTCCTTACACTTCTTCATTGTCTTTTTTTTTTTTACATATAATACAATAATTTATATTTGATACACTATCAATAGATAATATCATTTAATCATAGAATGTCATAATATAAATATATAAAGATAAATGTTTACAAAATTTTTAAAATTATGAATATTTATTTTTAAACTTTCACAATTTTTAAATTTATTTATTAATAAAACGGGTAACATTTGATTTTGTGACTATGTATTAAATTTATACATTGAAATGTATCAAATATGAATTTTTAATTTAATTTCTCAATCTCTAAAAATTCAATGCATTTCATTGAAAAACAATTTACTGCAAATTTGAGAGAGCATACCCATATTCCTTCAAATATTTTCATAATAATAATTAAAAAAAGTTACGTATGTATTTAGTCAAAAACACAGATTTAACAAAAACTTTAAAGAAAACTCGGATAATTTTCTCAACTAGATTAATCTTAATTTGTAAATTCTTTTTTTTAACAAAATTATAGTAACGAGATATTAATGTATCGTGAGTTTTCTTTTTCTTTCTCTTTTTTCATTTTTTATTAAAATTGTTATTTCGTACAACATTACCAATTTGATGTATAAATTTCCAAAAATTAACAATAACAAGTCTAAACAATATCTGGCTTAATCTACAGCACCACAATTATCTTTTCTAACCCACTGACTTACATGTCCTCTCGGTTTCCTCCTGCCTGAGTTCCAGTGCTTACTGGTGACCTAGTCGAAGAACTACTGGAATTTATTTCTGCAGTATAAATTTATTTTTTTATGATTTTTGTTTACTTTTTTATATTAACATGTTAAATATTTATATTAAAAAAATCAAAATTTAATATAAAAGTATATTAATTTTTTTTAACTTTGTGAAAATAAAAGAAGAGACAAATATTTTATAAACATAAGTAATTTTAAAGAATTTGATGCATTTTTTTTTTATGTTTCTATCATTTTACATATAAGTTGGAATACCTACAAACAAGTAAAAGGCATAGCAATAATTATTATTTTTTATATATATTTTGAAATGACTTAAGTGAATAGGATAAAGTAATTATTAGTCTCATGTTTGAACCTTGTTTTTTATATTTATGGTTCAACTATGGCATTTTGTATAGTGTTTAATTTAGTTAAGAATTTTTATTATTTAACCAAATATACTACTAAATATTTTACAATAAAACTAAAGGCTAGAATTATAACCAATATTGAGTTGAAAAATTTATCTCTCGCAATTTATTTTGTCAAAAACTTAATCCATATTTATCAAAATTAAGTGTTTAAACTCATATATATATATATATATATATATTGATTTGAGCACATCTCTGATTTAAATTATAAAATACTATAAAGCTCTCTCATAAGTTTAAATATATCCTTGGCCAGGCAAACTTGATCGCTGAGTTTTTCAAACCCAATTCCTGAAAAATTTCTCCTAAAGTCTAAAGCTTGCGGTCCATACGTGCATGTGAATACTGATTTAAATCCTTTATGGTCTACTCTAACAAATAAAGTAATTTTAGATTGTTACTACGACTAGTATAATTGAAACATAGAAAAGAAAAATAATGTGTGATGATTTAAAGTCAAGGGCTCCATGTATTTTGATTAGGGTTCATACATCACCCTCATTAAAATTAAAAGTTATTGCACATACACCTTTTCTCTATTGATTTGGTTATCATTTTATTGCCACAACTTTGTCTTTCTATTTCCTCATTTTTCATGATTTCGAATTTAATGTGCAGTGTATTTTTTCTTGGTAAGAAAGTGTATAGTTTCATATAATAAATACTTGTATAAGATTATTTATTTAATTTTTTTCTCTTATTCTTCTTTAAATAAAGTCTAATAGCTAATGGCATCATATTAAGACAATGAGGGTTAGAATACTACTAGATGCATATATTAATGTCGATGGCTTATCCTATTATTGTGTGATGGTAGTAGTGTGTTTTTCTTTTTCCCCTTTTAGATATTCACTTATACGCAAGTCTTAGAATAAATTTCATCAGTTAATAGGGCCTGGAGTTTCATATATTGGCATAATTCCTAGGCGTAACCGGTTAATTAAATGAATCCACACGAGCGTCTTTCATATGCGGATAGAGTGGTCAGATACATATGCAAAACGGCAGACAACACATAACAAGAGAAACTATTTTTCTTAAATAAGAAATATACTCGCATATTTTAAAAACTTTTTTTAGTATGAAATAAATTTTTTTAGTATTTTTATTTAATTTTAAAATTAAATATATTATTTATTTTTATAGATGTCATAAGATTGCCTTTCTTTCATTATACTTCTTCATTGTCTTTTTTTGCATTAAAAAAACTCTTTTTTATTATTTTTTTCTTTTAAAATATAATTTAACTATTTATATTTGATATATTGTTAGTATATAATATCTATACAATATTATTTAATTACAAGAGTGTCATTTCATAAATATATAAAGATAAATGTTCCAAAAATGTTCAAACATAAATATTTTTTAAATTATAAATATTTATTTTTAAGCATTCAAAATTTTTAAATTTGTTTATTGAGACGGGTAATATTTTGATAGTGCATCAAATATGAGTTTTTAATGTGATTTTTCAACTTTTACAAACTCAATGTATATATTATTCATTTAGAAGCTATTTTGCCACAAAATTGAGAATGTATACCCATATTCTTTCGAATATTAATTTTTATAATAAAAAAATAAACATATGCAAACCCTCCAAAGAGACTTCGTATATAGTTCATATGTTCAAAAGGAAAAAAAAAAAATCAGATTCCTTCATTTACTAGCAACTATCAATTTCATTTAATTCTTTGGTGGCGTAGCTCACATTATTTGAAACTAAAGTGTTGTAACTAAATTAATGCTTTTTTTTTTGTCACAGTAGTTAATACTTTGATGTACGCCTACTAATTAACATATGGTTTACCAAGTTGCATTCTTCTTTCTTCATGAAATGTACATCGGTACTCCACTAGATAAAAATCTTAATTTGTATCTTTTTTTATTAATTAAAATAGTTAATATTAACTGAATAAAAATAATTATTATAAATAATGTGATATAAAATTATAAATGAGAAAGTAAACAGAACCCAAAATATGGGGAGAAAAGTTCTGTTTAATATTTCTTATACTACTTGTAGTAAGGTCACGTCTTCACACCAGAAATTAAATTTGAGCCGCAAGTTTTTTGTTTTTCTCATAATGCTTATCATGAAATCTTAAGAACCACAAAGGCAAAGCGAAGCGTTGCCGTAGATGAATCTTGTTTCTCTGCTTTCTAAACCTCTCCTCTACAGTTCGTCGCATCGTGAATTACACGGAATTATCCCCTACCCCTTGTTTAGTCTAGACTCTAGAATTTGCCAATGTCTTGCATCGGTTGGACAGTCCAAGTTAAATACTCCTATGATCTTTGTGGATTCAACGGTCTAGAGAGATCCTGCTCTGACAGCAAAGTAAATACGACGTTGTTGGAGTGTTTGATCATCGAAAGATCTGGTGTGGGACCTATCAGGTCGTGCCCCTACGTGGAGCTGGAAAAAATATTGTTACCGCAATGGCTTACCCTTCTTGATCTGTAGCCATTTCATTTATGTCGATGGTCAGCTTGTGGGTCCCTGGACTAGAACTCTTACCGCTTCTACTTGAAAATGGTATTCCGGATAGTAAAGAAAAATCTTCCTCTTTGAAAAGGGCTCAATATTGACGCGTTTCCTGGCTTTGAAATTTTGCTGTGCGTGGGCTAAAAGTTTTTGCTTGAAAATTGGATTCGCAGTGTAAAAAGTTTACATGTGTACCTTACCTCATCAATTTGACAGTGTTAGAGCTGAGTACCAAATCTAGAATTCCAGATGTTAATGAAGCGTCAAGATTATGGACTAACCTAGAACCATCCTCTGTGGAAATTTTGAACAAAACTGATCTCAGCTCAGCTTCAAGAAGAAAATGTAAAAGAACAAACCGACAAAGGGTTACTCTTAACAACCAACAAAAATCCTGACGAGCTAATCAACCTGCAAAAAGCAATTTTTTTCTTTTACATTTTCACACTTTCACACAGTTTTAAAATAGTTTCCAGAGGTTTTAACTCAATGGTTGTCACTACCCAAGTCTATTATTACGAACACGAGACATGGTCTTCATTTGACACAATTTTCGTTAGGTGGGGTGAAAGAAAAGGAGCAAACGAAACCGTCGAAATCGCAATCAGACCACGGTATGTGCATGAAAATGTTTTATTCTGAGGAAAAATGTGAACACGAACAAAAAAACTCAATTGAAGGGCTTGAAGCGTGGGGCACAGTCCAGCAGAAAAATGAAAAAGCTGGCCTCCAACTTCGACAAACAGACAAATCAAACTGTGCTACTAAGGTTAGGTTTAGCTTTTACCCCATGGCCCCCACCTTAGCACCTTCTTGTTCAGGCTGTCTTCTAGAGGGGATAGCTCTTCCCATGTTTTTATTGCATGTTGAAACCAAGATCTGGATTGTTGCGATACTTCTCAGCAACCATCAGATATATGATGAACGTTGATCGATTCGTAGACTTAGGCACACATTTTTCTGGTGAAACAGAGAATAGCACCACAGCGGGTTTCCTGTCAAAGTATTAAAGTGTCCACGAGTCGGGGCCAGAATTCGGATATATTTTAATTTTTTGGTTTGATTTTAATGCACTTTTCCTTCTAGAAGTGCAGCAGAGCGAGATAATCGGAAAAAGAAATTCAAATCTTTTAAATTATTAAAAATTTGTTTTCAAATATGATTATGTTCCCAAAAGTGATCTAT